TGCATTAATGGCAAGGAACAAGCAATTGCATCATCAATGATGTAGAAAAAACATTTGATAAAATTTTCTAAAATGGAATCAACCCTTAGCAAATAAAGTAGAAGAAAAAAAATTTTTTTTTGACTTTGATAAAGGCTTCTAAAAACCTATAGCAGACATCATTCTTAGTGGAAGAAACAAAAGTTACAACTCGTTCCTTTTAAGGTTAGGAAGATAAGGAAGGCTGTGTTACTTCTACTTGTCAACATATTATAGGACACCTGACCAATGCAGTAAGACAGATTACAACAACAACAAAAAAAAGTAAGGAAGCGAGAGAGATAATTGTCATTATTTCTAAGTGAGTTAACTTACATAGTTAACCAGAGTCAGCAGAAACTATTAGCAGTAATACAAGAATTCACCTAAATTGCCAGCTATAAGAGCAACATATAAAAACCAGTAGCTTTCCTGTATTTTAGGAGTAACCAATTATAAACTATGACAATAATAAGGTACCATTTAAATAGTGACATAAACTGAAAGCTATCTAGGAATAAATCTATGATACAATGCATAAAACATATAAGGGAAATTTAAAACTCTATTACAAGAGTTTTATTATGGTACTAAACAGCATAAATGCTCTTTCATAAATGGCTTCATTGAATATTGTGAAGATGTTACATTTCCTCCCCATTAAAATTTAGATTCAGTTCAATCAACATCTAAGCAAGAACGTTTTTGAAGGGGTAGAGTTGAGTCTGAAATTTATATGGGAGAATAAATATGGAAAAACAGATCCTGTCTTGACAAGGCATTAACAATATCTAGCAGTTGGCAAACTACAACCCACAAGCTGAATCTGGGCTACTGCCCATTTTGTAAATAAAGTTTTATTGGGACACAGTCATATCCATTCTTTTACATAATGTCTATGGCTGCTTTCATGCTGCAATGAAAGAGTTGACTAGTTGCAGCACAGTCTGTGAGGCCTGCTGCATCTGGCGCTTTACAGAAAGAATTTGGCGACCTTTGCTCTGCAGCATCTGACATAGAATCAGAATAGAACATAGTCCAGACTCATTCCTATGTACATATGGGAACTTGGTGTATTCATTCCCAGAAATTGGTACT